GTTAACAACACATTCAGATGTAAACATTCTTTTGAAAAGAAAAACTATTAGCCTAAATTCTTTAGTATTTTATTAGGTGACAATTCCAATGTTTACTGCAAATAAAATTAATAAAAGCAGTTTTCTTTTTAAAAATCACACTCCTGGCCCAAATTTTGCTTCAACATTGGTGATGAGCTCTACTGGCCTGACAAAAAGCCCTAGCTGCTTCAGAGTATTCACTCATGAATAATTAGAACTTGGTGCTCCCCTCCCTCCCTCTCTCTCTCTCTTTCTGTCTCTCCTTCTCCTTATGAGTGTGTGTTTTCACCTATTGATATGCATGTGACAATACAGACATGCAATGTAACAAAAATAAAAAAACAAACATCTTGAATGTGCTTTTAAAGGATAAGAGAATGCTTTAAAAGCATTTTTATCTTCAAAATTTGATAGAAATCAGTATGTGTTTAACAGTTCCTGTTGGCAACTCTTCAGTCTTACACTGTGACTGTAAAAGAAGGCATGTCCTGGATGTTGTATCATCCAGGGTGATCCTTGGGATATGAGAATGTCAGATATTGAGGTTCCTGATAGCCTAATCATGATACAGTCTTTTACCTCAAGATCTCAGGCTGTGACCTGGCCCTTAAATGATGAGTCATGACTCCCATTCCCACCATAGGGTCCCTAGTGACCAAGATCAAAATCTGTTTGTATTTAGGTAGCTCCTCCCTGCCCCTGCCCCTGCCCCATGAGTTCTGTCACTGGGGAATCCTTGTGAAGAGACTTGGGACTTTGGAGATGGGAAATTATCATTTGCCAAAGTGATGCTTTATGCCAATGACATAGGCCCACTGGTCAGATTTAACAGAGAAGCCTATAGAACTCCTACTTGGTAGAGAAGTTTTTAAAACTAGAATGCAAAGCAAACAGTAGTACTTTTGCTTTTAAAATAACTTTTTAAAAATTGGGAAACAATAGTCGAACCTCTGAAAAGTATCTTCAGTCCACATGCGGTATCTGTCTACCTCTGTAAGATTTAGCCTCCCAGTTCTGCATACTGAACTACAGGCCCAAAGTTAAGAGAGCGGGATGGGCATGGTGGCTCATGCCTGTAATCCTAACATTTTGGGAGGCCGAGGCAGGCAGATTACCTGAGGTCAGGAGTTTGAGACCAGCCTGGCCAACATGATGAAACCCCATCTCTACTACAAATACAAAAATTAGCCGGGCGGGGGTGGTGCATGCCTGTAATCTCAGCTACCTGGGAGGCTGAGGAGGGAGAATCACTGGAACCCGGGAGGCAGAGGCTGCAGTGAGCTGAAATCAGGCCACTGCACTCCAGCCTGGGAGACAGACTGAGACTCCATCTCAAAAAAAATAAAATAAAATAGAGAGCAATGAATGATGGTGATGCTAAAGGAGGGAGCCATCTACTGAAAGAGGAAAGTGGAGAGGAACAGAACCTACCAAAATCTATCTTCTCTGCCTCTCCTTGACTCCGAGTGTCCCAGTTTCTGGAGTGCTAGTAAAAGATAAGGTCCGACCTGACTGAAGAAAAAACTGAAGAAATTAATCTCTGTGAAATTCTCCTACCTGCCATTTCCTCTTTATTCCATCCCCACTTCCATTCTCTGTCCCATTCCTGACCAAAGGGAAGCTGCTTCAGTAGACCTCTGTCCCAGAGGAGTTTGCATTGAAAAGGATGCCCTTGAAAGACAAAACCAAGGGGAACTCAGCTATAATTCTGGCATTCTGGGGGGCAGGGTGGTCCTCCAGTCCTAGGGCTTTTGAAATGTGTCTCCCCTTGAATCCAGGCCAGAAAACAGGGTCCTCACCAATGGGTTTTCCTATAGGATAACAGGCCAACCTCTTCAGCAAAAGTACCCAGCTGCGAGCCAGGTCTAGTGCCAGCCAGGCACTCCAGGCTGTTAATCCCTAAGAGGAAACCACAGCTTTGTTGGCACTTGTCCTTCCCTTGACTAACTAAGCTTCAGGAAGGAGGCCCAGTTGTGGCATCAGCAAATGTCCCAGAAATCCGAAGGACTCTTATAAAATGCTATAGAACTCCAGTTTGGGGTTTAGGGTGTAGGCACCTGCTAGAGAAGTGTAGCCTGAGAAACAGGAATCTGACCTATCAGGAATGGTAGTCAGGGCCTTTGGAGGCAAAGCCAATGACAACTAGCAACAAATGCTGAGTGATCAGTTAGAACAAATTCTTTCTCAGGGTCTCCTGTTGTTTCTGTGAGTGTATGCATGCACACACCTGTAGCAAGAAGAACTAAGGAAAGGCATTGTTTCCAAAAGCCCCTAAGAATAAAATTAGAATTCTCTTTGGAGCTGCCCCCAAACCAAGAACATATGCATAAAGAGCCAGAAGTCAATATAAAAGATCAAACTATAGAAGGACAAGGCATTTAAAATGCAGCAACAGAACTCAAGAGAGAAGCTAACAGCCTACTTCCACCTTTCCTTGATTTTGATTATTTTCATTCCAGGCCCTGGAGCCTCAGTCTTGTCACCTAATATCTCTGTTAATTCAAATTCCTTTCCTCAGTTAGCCTCTAAGATTATTCAACAGCAAGGTAAGAAATTGATTCCTATTGTATTTTCCGAGAATCAGGGTCAGAAAATGTCATTGTAAAACGTCACACTGGCTTTTAAAAACACTGCAAAACAGATTTAAGTTCTAGTATATGACTAATTCTAATTCTGCTATATGCTTTATTTTTCTGCCATATTTAATGACTCAGTACTAAAACCCTGTTTAAATTTTTGTGTGTTTCTGGCAAGTAAATATCATTAAAAAATTATTTGCCATTTACAGTGACCCCCTGAAGTGTGCTTTGCCCACCAAAACTTACTTGCTCTGCGTGGCCCCAGAAAAAAAATGGTCAATATTGTTTCTTCAGGGGCAGTGCCTCAGAGGTATTCTCTTTTTACCTTTATTGTCAAGGGAACGGTTACTTAATCAAAGGTCAATGGGTCCATCTTGAAAATATACTAGAAACAGATTTAATCATGTCCCTCTTCAGACTAGATGTTAACTACCTAAGCATAATTAACAACAGGATGCCAGTCAATGAGTGTACTTTTTACTTCATGTCTGGGGAGTTTGGGTTCCTTCAATTTAACAGGGGCCTTGGTGCTAGTTATCAAATTGACAGTCTTGACCTGACTTCTAAAAGTGGCTGTAAAATGATGCCCAGTAAATTAAGATAAATGCCAAATTCCTCTGAGGAAACGGGCCTAAATCATTACTATGAAATGGGCATTCAGGTTTGAGACCAGCACTTTACAATAAGGATATAAATACCAGCCTGGGCATGAGGGAAGATGTGCACTTAACTATTGTATACACAAGATAACAGTGACTCACTTTGTTCAGCATTATGCTTGGCTGGAGATTTTAAATTCCTTTTTAAAAACAAGACTATTGTACCACAGGGTAAAGATTTTATTATCCTCAATAATGGGATTGAATATGCCAAGGCGTGGAAGCAGGAAATTAGATCTGCTGATCCCCAGTGCCAAGACAGGGGTTCTCGAAATCCACAATGGGTCACTTTGGTGGGCTTTCCATGGTTGCAGTGACCTGGAAACACAGGGACCCGAAGTAGGGAATGTCTGGCTCCAACTAGGAGAGGTGATAGAAGTCATGCTAGATCAGGTCCCAGGCAGCAGAATGGAGTCAGAACATGGGCACTTACTGTACCTCTGCTATTCCAGTATTGCTGAAATACTAACTAACGCAGGAGGTGAAGGCACTAAGCAGTTAAGCAAAGGGGTTACTGATCTGGCTTTTTTCCACAGATGCCACTATCCAACAGTACAGAGAAGCTGACAGAGTCACTGCTGACGTATTATATCACTGCTTGATAAGTCATGTACAAGTAACCAAAATTGGTCAAACAGATCCCTGAAGACAAATTGCAAGTCATAAACCTTCAGCCTGAATCCTAATTTTTATCAATAGGCAGGAGAGTTCATATTAATCTTATTCCTTCTGTATTTTCTTCACTCAAACTTCTTCACTCCCACTTATTTTGCTTCCCTCTTTCTCATATTTATTGCTTCCTGCCCTCATATTTGGGGAAGGAAAAAAGAGGGGACTATGATTTAGTTTCCTGTCAAGACTCAAATTAAATGCACAGCCTGTTTATCACTAAAACCCTCCAGTTGGCCAGTTTTAAATGAGGTGACGGGACATTAACTCAGAACCCTCTGCTCACTGTCCTCCTCTGCACTGACCCCTAGCCAGACTTGTGGGGATGGAAAGCAAAATGATGCATGTCCAGACATCTTCTCTAGAGTGTACCACCAACCAAATTGCACCAATAACCCTAAGCTATTAATGGGAAAAATCCCCAAGAGACATATGCACAAGTCTAATCAGCTTTCTTTCTTTTATTCTTTTTCAAGTCAGGCTCTCACTCTGTTGCCCAGGCTGGAGTGCAGTGACACAATCATGGCTCACTGCAGCCTTCAACTCCCAGGCTCAAGGGATCCACCTGCCTCAGCCTCCCAAGTAGCTGGGACTACAGATATGAGCCACCATGCCTAAGTTCTTTTTTTGAGAGAGAGACGGGGTCTCACTACATTGCCCAGGCTGGTACCGAACTCCTGGTCTCAAGTCATCTTCCTTCCTCAGTCTCCCGAGTTGCTAGGATTACAGGCATGAGCCACCATGCCTGGCCCTACTCAGCTTTCTATAGGCAAAAGTTCATCTAAGTGGAGTTTGGTTGGTGGAACACTCCAAAGAAGAGAACTTTCTTAAGCCAGAGGGAATATGAAGATCTTTGCTTCTCTCGCTGCCCTTTCACTATCCATTAACATTTACAATTCATCCAAACATGGGTCTATCTCCCCATCGGAGAAATCACGGGCGTTTACAAACCCATCACCACTAGGGTTCATTACATTTCGCTTAAGGCAGTAGTCCCTCATAATCAAGCTGATTTCCCTCTTAAGAGATTAGTTCTTTAAACTTCTGCTCTGGTCTTTTTCTGTCCCCTTAGGTCATGGATTATATGGGACTTTTGAAATGTTATCCTCCTGGAGGAAAACTAGAGAAGACCAACATGTTAAAGAGAGAACTGCAGCAGTCTATGCAGACTCCATGCTCTCCTTTTCTCTCACCACTGCCATGTACCTGGTCACCTTTGGCATAGGGGCCAGCCCTTTCACAAACATTGAGGCAGCCAGGATTTTCTGCTGCAATTCCTGTATTGCAATCTTCTTCAACTACCTCTATGTACTCTCGTTTTATGGTTCCAGCCTAGTGTTCACTGGCTACATAGAAAACAATTACCAGCATAGTATCTTCTGCAGGAAAGTCCCAAAGCCTGAGGCATTGCAGGAGAAGCCGGCATGGTACAGGTTTCTCCTGACGGCCAGATTCAGTGAGGATACAACTGAAGGCGAGGAAGCGAACACTTACGAGAGTCACCTATTGGTATGTTTCCTCAAACGCTATTACTGTGACTGGATAACCAACACCTATGTCAAGCCTTTTGTAGTTCTCTTTTATCTTATTTATATTTCCTTTGCCTTAATGGGCTATCTGCAGGTCAGTGAAGGGTCAGACCTTAGTAACATCGTAGCAACCGCGACACAAACCATTGAGTACACTACTGCCCAGCAAAAGTACTTTAGCAACTACAGTCCTGTGATTGGGTTTTACATTTATGAGTCTATAGAATACTGGAACACTAGTGTCCAAGAAGATGTTCTAGAATACACCAAGGGGTTTGTGCGGATATCCTGGTTTGAGAGCTATTTAAATTACCTTCGGAAACTCAATGTATCCACTGGCTTGCCTAAGAAAAATTTCACAGACATGTTGAGGAATTCCTTTCTGAAAGCCCCTCAATTTTCACATTTTCAAGAGGACATCATCTTCTCTAAAAAATACAATGATGAGGTCGACGTAGTGGCCTCCAGAATGTTTTTGGTGGCCAAGACCATGGAAACAAACAGAGAAGAACTCTATGATCTCTTGGAAACCCTGAGGAGACTTTCTGTCACCTCCAAGGTGAAGTTCATCGTCTTCAATCCGTCCTTTGTGTACATGGATCGATATGCCTCCTCTCTGGGAGCCCCCCTGCACAACTCCTGCATCAGTGCTTTGTTCCTGCTATTCTTCTCGGCATTCCTGGTGGCAGATTCACTGATTAACGTCTGGATCACTCTAACAGTTGTGTCTGTGGAGTTTGGAGTGATAGGTTTCATGACATTATGGAAAGTAGAACTGGACTGCATTTCTGTGCTATGCTTAATTTATGGAATTAATTACACAATTGACAATTGTGCTCCACTGTTATCCACCTTTGTTCTGGGCAAGGATTTCACAAGAACTAAATGGGTAAAAAATGCCCTGGAAGTGCATGGGGTAGCTATTTTACAGAGTTACCTCTGCTATATTGTTGGTCTGATTCCTCTTGCAGCTGTGCCTTCAAATCTGACCTGTACACTGTTCAGGTGCTTGTTTTTAATAGCATTTGTCACCTTCTTTCACTGCTTTGCCATTTTACCTGTGATACTGACTTTCCTGCCACCTTCTAAGAAAAAAAGGAAAGAGAAGAAAAATCCTGAAAACCGAGAGGAAATTGAGTGTGTAGAAATGGTGGACATCGATAGTACCCGTGTGGTTGACCAAATTACAACAGTGTGATAATGTCTGCTTGGTATATCTTCACCTTAGGTCTTATCAAGAGCAAAGAGATTATGTTAATGAAATAATTAAATTCAAAGTTGTTCCCTTTTCTAAAGATAGGAAACAGGCATTGACAAAAAAATGTGAAGGGCAGTGGGGGGAAATGGGCATGGTATATTTTCAGTCTTTAAAACAATAGAGTTGTTATGAGAGTACACACACACACACACACACACACACAGTCTCTTAAACTAAGATCAAATAGAAGAAAGCTTATTAACAAGTAGGATCTTATCTTATCCAAACTGCAGATGTTGCTGGCATTGTGACAAAACCCACTGATTGAAAGGTCAACTGCTAAGGCAGAAATAGCTTTAGGCACTGTTCAAACAATAAGGCTTCCAGAACTTCTGTAGAGCAGTAGCTCTAGTCATGGTCTGTGGTTTGAGGTTTTAGCCGTCTCACCTAGCTCCCTAACACCCAAGGAGATGCTTGTGAAAGTTCTGACTAGCAAAACCAAGTCAGAGCCTTGGAAACTGAAATGTGGTGGAGTGGCCCTCACTCATGGACTAAAATTGAGTCACTCCTAAATTTACCCAGGTGAGGCAATTTTGTTGTCTAGAATGAAATTCCCATATTCCCCCATTGATATGCTTTTAACATTTGTATAGTTTGGTTTGGTTAAAACACCTTAAAATCAATGACAGCTCCAGCATTGCAGATTTGGTGTGATTCTATTTTGGAATAGCTTGTCACTTGTCACCAAATGGGTCTGCTTTATTAGTTACAGCTCTTGGCAAGAGGATCCAGGGACCCAAAACCACAGAGCCAAACCCAAATACCTGGCATGACGGAGCAAAAGCAGTGTCTACTTGGACCCAGATATAGCGTCTCCATTTGAACAACAACAACAAAATAGCCAGCTGGTACAGCTGTTTGTGGTTGGCCTTACATGGATTTTTTTGAATGGATACCCAGAAACATCTGCCCACACATAACTGAGGGGAAAAAAATGAACACTGAAATAGTTATTTGCTGTTGCTTCCAACTTGTAGTGCCAGTCTGCCTTTGCTATGAAACATGCCTGCTCAGAGACAGAGGGGAGAAGAAGATCTTTGGTAAGTCTAAGTCCTAACACTGAGAAACTTTGTAAAAGTGCAGGGAGATAAAGGGCCAAAAGGGAGATAGGTGGAAAAGACTGGAAAAAGTCATTGCTAATACAAATCTATCAATGATGGCAGTCCAACTTTCTTGCTAAACTGGCTGCACATCACCTTGCTGGTCCCCCCACATACCTTTTTTGATGCCCTTCTACTTCATCATAGCAAGGCCCTTCTGTACATTAGCAAGCCTAGATATTTATACTCTTGACTTTGACTATCTACAGAAGAGTGGTTCAGCTAAACAGAAATGGTTTAGATCTAAAAAGGCTGTATACATTGCCCAGGCCCCTGCATTTCTTTAAATTTATAAAAATGAAGCTAAAACCTGGTTACGTTTGAAGCAAATATCTACAGTATTTTTCCCTTTTAGAGATGTAGCGTATTTAGACATCTATAGTGGTAAGCACTTCCCAAAAGCATTTTACCTTTCTGAACCTTAACAGACATACTGTGCAACCTACCCATCCTCTGCAGAGGAGGAAACTGAGACCTAGGAGAATAAAGTGACTCACTCAGGTCACACCACTAAAGGATTTTCATCATTTCAGCATACCTAAGACAGCGCAAGCCAATTTTCAGTTTTCTCGTAAGATGGCTATTACTCCTCTCAAAATACATTTCCAAGGAAGGAACATATGACTTTATCGGCCACAGGGCAGACATTTTTATAGTGTCTGTGATTAAAACGTTTGAGGTTTAGGTTTGCCATTGTCTTTCCACAACAGCAAAAAAGCCCAAATAATTCAGATGTAACCACACCAAGTGCAAACCTGTGCTTTGTATTTCACATACTATTGTCCATATAATTCTAAATACATGTGCAGGGGATCACAGCTAGTGCATTACACACTTGTTCAGTCTCCCCTGCAGACACACTAAGCAGTAATACCAATGTGTTATGCACTCAACTAGAAGATAATAAGCTTTAATCTGAGGACAAGTACAGTCCTCACAAAAGGGCAAGTTTGCATAATAGATTTTCGATCAATTCTCTCTCCAAGGGGCCTGCAAGTAGGCTATTATTTATAAAACACAACTGAAGAGGGGATTGGTCTTATTCTTAAATCATATGTTGCTAAATCATTTTCTGAACAGTGTGTTCTAAATCAGTCATTGATTTAGTGTCAGCCACGTGGAGTACCTTGGCTTAAAGCGACTCCACAAAACTGACACAACACATTTGCCAATTAAATGGATTTTGTTGAGAATTTAATCATTCAATTTGGTCAACCAGAATGACTTACTGTGGAACTTTGTTTTATGAGAGATAGTTTTCCAACTTGATTGAGTCTCTGTATACCTTGGGAAATCATATTTTTTAATGAAGGGCATTTTCAAATTTGTCAACTTATCATTTCAGCCCTTGAAATGAAGGCTTATGGAATTCTGACTGTGAAATGAATTTTTCTATTGGGAGATTATGCATGCCAAGATTTATTATTTATTGTTAGATAATTATTTATGTGTTAATATTGATTATTGATTATTGCTCTGTTGCATTGGTTTAGCCCCAGTGTGGAGAAGACACTTTAGAAGTAACTCAGACTTCCATCTCCCTAAAATCTAAGTCTTTACTTCAAGTTTTACTTTTTGAATTGCTATAAAGAGGGAAAAAATGATCCCTGCAAACACTTAAAGAAGCTGTGTTTTTTTCTTTCAGTTAATTCCAACCAAGATGTTAACGTCCACTTTACCAAAGAAACTTATTTGGTTGGTTTTGAGTTGGTGTTGGTTGTTTGTTTACCAAAGAAATTATTCCATTTATCAAAATATTTCTCCTGGTCAACTAAACAACTGTGATACTGGGTCTTTTTTGGCCATTCATAAGGAAAATTTTTAAAAGTCAGGGTATGGATGATATTTTCTCATTTAGTGAAACTCAGAAGAAGATGTAAATTCACAGGAATATGGTGTTTGCAAAAAAGAAAATGAAACCTGAAATAGGACGTTATTATTTAGTCCTACAGCAACACTCCAACAGGTGGCATCAGGGTTCCTCGCGTTAAAAGAGGTAGTTTGTTCCAGAGATAAAGGAAGACAAACCCTCATGAAATGTTTCTCCATTGTTCCAGCTCATAAGTTTTGCTTCATTTTGGGTTTTGGAGTTTTTAGTTTCTTTGGTGTTTGTTTTGCTTTTATTTGGTTTGTGGTTTGTGTTTGCTTGTGTTTGCTTCTGCCTTTCCAACCACTTTTACTCCCTCAGTTTTCAGTGAGAAGTGAGATAATCAGATGCCACCCTCCATGGCCACACTTACTTATGCAGTATAGTGCTCCAAATGAGGGCCTTGGTAACCCTTATGACCCTTTTCTTTTAACTAACCACCACCCATTTGTAAGTGGCATTCTGGGAGTATGACACCACTTTTCTCCAGTGCCAATGACAGAGCTCACCTGTGTCCATCACAAGAACAAGTGGAATGGGCAGCTGCCTTGGGGGTGTGGCGTGAGGCAGAGCCTCTTGGACACAAATGTTATCTTCCTCATAATGGCTTTATTCTTTTGGATCCTATTAAAGTACTCCTGTAGCTTATAGTAGTGTTTGACCTCTGTGACTCTGCTTTCTCATCTGTAAAATGGGGATAATATCAGTAAATTTCTTTAAATTCAGCAAATACTTATTGAGTGCCAAATATTGCCCAGATACTGTTCTAGAGACTGGGAGCACAACAGGCAACAAATCAGATTTTTAAAAATCTGTTCTTGTAGAGCCTACCTTTGAGTGACATTGCAGGTATATTGTGGGGATTGAGTGAGATGAGAGATGACATTTGTAAAGCACTCTTGGAAAGTCCTGGCAAAGAAAAGAGACTCAAAACATTGTAAATCATCAATCTCGCATAGTAGCACTAGGACTCAGGATGTAAAACTGCTGAGAAATATACTGGAGCCTGAGATTAGGGCTACAAATGCAATGAGTTGCCACAGAAGGTAGTTAATTACCAGTCATTTTAGGACATTCAAAATTAAGCTGATCACCACTTAGTGGGGCCACTGTAAAGAGGGTGCAAGCCCTGGATGTTGGCGTCATACTATGATCTTTGAAAAAAATGGATACAGGCACTTGGGTTTGAGGATGGAGAAGGGATAGCACTGATTATTGAATAACTGTGCCTGGCTTGTCCGAGGGAATGTAAACATTCCTTTTAGGTAATTTGCTTTAATTTTGTGTTAAAAGCACCAGGTATTTAGAGACATAAAGTTTCTATTTTTTAAAAGCATAGTAAAGCTGCAATACAAAGGAAAATATTAAGTTAGTGGATTTGCTGGCAAAGAACTAAGAATGGCTGCAGCCAACACATTGCAGAGTTCCTCCCTGTGGTGGTTACAACTGTTTATTTCTGTTTCATGCCAGTCTAGGAGAAAGCAAAGAGGAAAGTGGATGAGCTATAATCAGTTCACCTGAATAGGCAGTTCCAGGATGTCCCCCCCAGCTTGCCTCTCACCTGCCCTGCCTCTGCCCAGGTGATTTGTTTGAAGTCCTCTTTGATATCTATGAAAGCACCGTGGAAGAAAGAGGAAGTGAGGCAACCAGACAGCTATGGCCTCTGTGCAGATTTTTGAGTTAGATTAAAATTGGCACCACCTGATTAGAGCCTATCTGGTGAGGAAAGAAGTCTTCTTTTCAAAGTACAAAGAAAGCAATGCATACCAAGGAGGCAACCAACAGAGAAACCTTGGTGAAAGAAATGACGTTCCTGTGGAATGTGCCAGCAGCTTCGCCCTCCAGAATGCTGACACCAGATGAATCTTTGGTTAGAATTAAGCCTACCCCTTTGTTTTTCACATGAGAAAACGGAACGCTGGAGAGTGAAATTATATTCACAAAGCTAATTAGAGACAGATATGACACTATAATTGAAATCTAGTTCTTAGCCTCAATTCTTTCTCCATTCTGCCACCTTCCTGCCAAATTCTATTTATCTAAATTGTGGGGGTCTTAACCTGGGGGCCGTGAATAAGTTCATGGGACGGGTCTGAGCTCCCTAAAATTAAATTATATGCAAAAATGTGTATATATATGGTCAAAATGTGCATTTTCCCAAAAGAGAGGGCTCATAGTTGTCATCAGATTGCAAAAGAGGTCTGTGACCCAAAAAGGGTGAAGAACCACTGTCCTAAATTAATAAAGACCTCTTTGGGAGTGTGATCCTGGTGTCCTTGTTTTGGGTAATGAGCAATCAAAAACTTTTGAACTATCTTTTCTCTAAGGAGCCAAAAATGCTTCCAAATTTTGGTTTCTTCATGCCAAGCCAAGTGCCTGCTTTTATTCATTTATTCTTCATTCATTCATTCATTTATTTATTCTGCAAATATATTTTCAGTGCCAATTCATGTTCTTGCACCAGCTAAATATGCCCTCCACAGCAGGGCAAGGAAAGGAGCCCTCTGTACTGTGCTCTTGTTGGCAAGAGGAATACCAGGTTGCTACCACATTCTCACTGTTGCAACAAAATATATATAGCCTCAAAATTTCAGTAACCATCCCACACACACATACACACATAAAAGTGGCAGCCAACAAAGCCAACATATAGAAGTGTGCCCTGTCAAAGAACCAGGGAAGAGCAGCCTATTTCCAGGTTATATATAGTTATATGCTGCTTTGCAACTGCATACCACATCCTTGGAAGGGCTGCTCCCAAATGAGCCCTACTCTGAGATGTCTACACCAGGCATGCTTTCACACATGTGCAGTAGCCTACTCTCAAACAAATATGGAGAGAATAAGTCTCATTCATCTTGATAATATTTGTAGTGGGCAAAGAAGAAAGCATGGCCATGGACAGATGGGTACATTTAAGGACAGGTGTGGCTGGGTGCGATGGCTCACACCTGTAATCCCAGCACTTTGGGAGGCCACAGCGGGTGAATCGCAAGGTCAAGAGATCAAGACCATCCTGGCCAGCATGGTGAAACCCTGTCTCTACTAAAAAATACAAAAAAAAAATTAGCTGGGCATGGTGGTAGCTGCTCAGGAGGCTGAGGCAGGAGAATCGCTTGAACCCAGGAGGCTGAAGTTACAGTGAGCCGAGATTGCACCACTGCACTCCAGCCTGGTGACAGAGCAAGACTCCACCTCAAAAAA